CAAGTGGAAAAAAAGGTTAATAATCATGTCATCAGACGCTAGTAGTGAAAAAAAAATAGTTATTTATATAACAAGAGCGCGAAGTTCAGTTCCAGCAACTTGAGACTGAAAGTCAAATGCGCGAAAATAACTTAAATAGTAAGGTATGATAACATGTTAAAACACTAGCGAGTTACCATGGCTGTTAAAGTTTGGCCGCCAATCGAATATTGTTTATTGGAGTCCTCTAATCAAATTTGGAAGGGAGGCCGATGGATCCACCGGTAACTTCCGGTTTGATGACGTCATTAGTACGCAATTTCGTTAATTCGGAAAAATGCTTCTATCTCAGTAACCACTTGTCTGATTTTCATGATCTTGGTCTCATTGGAAAGATATTAAAATAAGACAGAACTTTTATGAGAAGTGCAAATCGCGTTCCGCGAACGATTTTCGCGAAATTTGCTAAAATTTGAAAAATTCACGAATTATTTTTTATTCCGGGTAAACTCCCACGAAAGATTATTATTTTTTGGTAATAAAATAAATGACGCTTAAGGGACAATTATGTGACAATGTACATAGTATCATTCTCTCCATATATAGAGAATATTTTGAATCATGTTTTGATATCCCGGCTATATTCCCATATAATCGACTGTATCAAGATAAATGGGACACCCTGTATATAGTTTAATTAAGTGACATTCAAAGATCAGATTACGGAACTCGCAACTCACAAAAAACTGACCGTTATTACACTCTCGGCTACACTCCAATTCGTCTCGCATATGCAGTTAAACCTCAATAAATCACAGAAACTGATATCTTTCCCAGGCAAAATTACTTGGTTCAAAACTATCATATATAACCTGCTATTCTGAATTCCATGTCTTCGTTATACTCGGGCAAAAACGAAAATTAATAATTCTAATTAGATCTTCGGGCCGGGCCCAACGATGTTGCGACCTTACCAGCTTTTCTTTACTTTTGTTTGTGTTTATTACTAAAAAACCATTTATTTTCTACAGTCAAACAACGTTGCTTCTGGTTAATACTTGTATTTGAATGGGTAACTACTCGAAAACTTTGCTCGGCAATAAAAAATGTGGGTTACTATTTGAAAAAAACAGTTTATGACGTCCCGNTAAGAAACCAGGTGTCAAATTCTTGACAGAATAGCTTCCTAGCTGAAACCAAAAATTGCCAACATATGTACGCACTTACCCATTTCCCACAGTTTTACTGAACTCCATATTTGCCAACTTTCTTATTTGTGGAGATATTTCTTTGAAATTTTAACCACAGATGCTTCTAGTAATGGCAACATATCGCAAATCGTAAAAATCAAGTGTGCATATGCGCGCAAACTGCGCAATGCCAACTTTTTAGTGTATCACAACGATGTTGAGGTAACGCTTATGTGCTTGTGTTTTCGTCTGTCTGTCTATGTCCGTCCGTCTGTTCCATCGAGATCTCGGCCCCTGGGTCACCAAGAGACTTCAGATTTTCGCTAATTGATAGCTGCTATGGTCTATATTTGCCCATTACTCATCATTTACAATGTGTTACGCGGCAATACCCACGAGTGGGTTTTGAAACATTTTTTGGTAATAATACCCGACACAATTTTTGTAGGTTGTACACAGGAAGATAAGATCTTCCAAATAACTCAATAAAAATTTCAGGTTACTATTTGAAAAAAAAAGTTTGATGCCATTGCGGCGCTCCGAAATTTTTTTTCAAAAATCCAGCCCGTTATTTTTCTGTTCGGTATGCCTAATATACATATCCGAAATTTGAACAAAATCCGTCGAGCCGTTTTCTCAGAAAATTGCCAACAAACGTACGTACGTACATACAGACGGAAAAAATAAGAAAGGTGCATTTTTTACGCATGCATTTTGTTTGCTTTTATTAGAGGGACCTACCATCCAATTTTCGTTAAAATTGCTCCATAAATAAGAAAGTTGGATGTTGCACATGCGCAACACTATTTTTTGCGCATGCATTTTGTTAGCTTTTATTAAAAGGATCTATCATCTAAATTTCGTTAAAATTGTTCCATAAATAAGAAAGTTGCATTTCTGCGCATGCGAAACACGATTTTTGCGCATGCATTTTGTTTGCTTTTATTAAAGGGACCTACCATCCAATTTTCGTTAAAATTGCTCCATAAATAAGAAAGTTGGATGTTGTACATGCGCAACTCAATTTTTTGCGCATGCATTTTGTTAGCTTTTATTAAAAGGACCTACCATCTAAATTTCGTTAAAATTGTTCCATAAATAAGAAAGTTGCATTTCTGCGCATGCGCAACACGATTTTTGCGCATGCATTTTGTTTGCTTTTATTAAGGGGACCTACCATCCAAATTTCGTTAAAATTGCTCCATAAATAAGAAAGTTGGATGTTGCACATGCGCAACTCAATTTTTTGCGCATGCATTTTGTTTTCTTTTATTAGGAGGACCTACCATCCAAATTTCGTTTTAATTGTTCCATAAATAAGATAATTGCATTTCTGCGCATGCGCAACACGATTTTAATTTCTTTAAAAGTTGCTTAAAATGGTCTAAAACGTCCGACATTTGAAGATTGAAATTTTTGAAATGTTCAAAAAACGGCTATCGCAATAGCTACACATAAAGCACATGCTAGGAAGCTAAAAATTCTGTCCAACCGTTCATTTTCTTATCAATATAATATGTTAATTTAGAGGATTTCAAGTGCTAGTAGTGAAAAAAATAGTATATATACCACGGTAGAGAAGTCTATTATTGCCTTCGCACCTTACACCCCTCGGCGCAAGCGCCTCGAGATGTAATCTTGGTGCTCAGGCAATAATACTGTACTTCTCTACCTTGATATATAATGTACTATTTTGACATTTTTAAATCCTTTATGCCTAATGTACAGTCATTGACCAAAGTAATGATCACCGAATAGGTAAATCTTGCAGCATACGCAACCAATATTTGAATATATTGGCAACAAATTATAAGTATCTCCTCCTTGACGAAACCGACGGAGCCCGATGTGATAGGCATGTTGGTTGGTTATTGTGCAGAGTTTACCTATTAGGTGATCATTACCTTTGTCAATGACCGTACATTCGCAAAATTTTAACGAGATCATAGCCGTTTGGCGACATAAAATATTTTGGTTTTTTAACTTTGACATTTTTTCAGTTTTTTTTTGTAATAAAACCTGCCACATTTTTTAGGTGATACAGGGTGTCCTATTCATAAAGATCGCAAGATCTATGGAACCGTTAATTGCACAGCTTGGGAATCAAGATTTTGTTATGAAATGTCAAAGAAGGCCAAGAGAAATAGCTGGAAATTATTTTCAAGGTTTGCCGCTAGAGGGCCTACGATTCGTGGTTAAGTAGACACATGATTTTTTCCTAAAATATACAATATACAAATATGCATAAAAATACATGGATCTTATAGGAATTTTGCATGATTTTGAGGTTAGATTAACCGATTTTCATATAATTGGTCTTATTGAAAAGGCCTCTCTTCGTGTAATCAGATTTAAAATACAACAAATAGATTATTTTTAGTAAACGTGATGACAGGTAGAGGGCGTGGTTTGGCATTAACATACTCTTTGCAAGTTTTCTCGAAAATTTCAGATAAAACGATGCTTATATTTATGATATTAGCAAATAAGATGAAAATATCAGTGAAAACCGCATTTTGATACCTGTTTCAGCAGATGGCGAAAATATGCATATTCACAAATTTAGAGAACAAAGGGAAAAGAAAAATAACATACTTGTCATCGGTCGGAAATTAAACGAAAAATGCGACATTGTCCAGGAAGTAAAATAAAGAGAAATTAAGTTTAGAAGTTGAGTAAAAACTGCATACAGGTTGAGTAAGACTACTCCAGCGCCTGACGCCTATCAGAATACCATAGTATAGTACAATTCAATAATTGGGAAAGTAAGATGAATGTACTGACATCTAAATCTCGTGTAAGGGGAATCCGAATATAAACCTTTCTTCATAGGACACCCTGTACATAGAAAAATGTGGTATTTCGAATACCTTTCCAATAAATTTTAGGTTTGCTATATGAAAAAAAAATCGATATCGTCGCGGCGCTCCAACATTTTTTTTCAAAAATCCGGCCCGTATGCCTAATATACATATCCAAAACTTGAACAAAATCCGTCGGACGGAAAAAAAGTTACTAAAAAATATAACACGAGACGAGGAAGTGGATGGAAGACCAATTAGAAATTTCTGTTAAATCTCAAAAAAAATTGCCGAAATTTCCAGTGTTAAAGTTTGAATAGTTTATGAATATGCTTTGTTTCATTTTTGCGGTTATCTACCCAGGCTGGCGCACACTATTTTTGGTGTCGGTAATGTATTGTGATGTCCAGTTCAGAGACCTCAGTAATGAGTACCATTATTAATTTACTCACTTTAGGGTCATTTTTTTGTTTTTAATAGGTACAATTCTTTCGCACTAACGTTGCAATTGTTTATTCCGAGAGGTCATTTCAGTTAGCGGTTTTTCGTGCTAACGCAATTGTAATGATAATCATTGCCAGAGTTAAGAAAATAGAGCATTGCGGTACCTACTTCAGTTTCGTTTCATTTCGTTAATTTTGAAAGTAAATGTACAACTTTTATTTATACCGTGGGCATACTCTATGCCTCGCATTTTGCAGTAGCACTCTTGATCAGAGTGGAATTGGATAATATGCAGAAACAAGACGCAACTTCCAAAAAGTTGCCATTGTTACCATAATTTCCAGAATTACCTACGTTGTAACCCCGATTAGCTGCATTTAGTCATTATATGATGATATGTAGATTGTGGGGACACTATCATTTTGATATAAGTACCTAATCATCTTATTATTGTTGATTCATTGTTCTCGTCTTAGTAATTGCGTGCACGGCATATTGGGGACATCCCGAAGAATAATCTAAAAGTACAAAGAATAAAACTAGCGGTAGTGGGAGTAACACGAAGAGCAGTTCTGGAAGTGGATTTTTAGGGCGACAAGTGTTATTCTTTCTTTTGCTTTCAGTTGTGAATGCAAGTGTTGGTCGGATTGTGTGTATGCAAACGTGCTTCTCGCGTTAACAACGTAATCTTGTTTATGATTCCGACTATGGATTATTCACGTTAAATTAAAGGTTAGTAAAATTGTTTAAACAATATACTCACACCGGATTTTGCACTTCTTAAAATGATGTACCTTCCTTTATTATACCTATTTAGTTCTTAGAAAGTTATTTCGAAATTGTGACAAAGGGAGTGGAATAGGTAATTGCATTTGTCACCTACTGGAATAATTGACTAGTGTCGGCGTATCCCCATGCTGTGTTGATGCTGATCAGTTATGTTTATTATGAGCGGTAGAGGAAGTAGTAATTTTCGTCACTAAAATGGCCTTGGCACTGCAAAAATAAGCGTCTGGAACATTAATCGTTTTGATTTAAGGACGCCCACTTAAAGCTCGGGACCAAAATTTGTCAGAATTAGAGTTTGGTCGACTTCAATTGAAATTTCAGATTTTGTTTACCTACTTCATGAAGCTTAAGTGAAGAAAATGTACCTATTATAAAAGTACCACAGCTTTAAATTCTTACTACAAATTCCGTTATGATTATTTATTACGTATTGATATAACAGGTGATAATCCTTTGGCCCCTTTTATTTCTGTTTAGTGCTGTTAATACGGTTGAGTAGGTAGACACAGGTCAGACCTGTGGTTTTTATTCAATGGACCGGGTCAGAAAACGTTGCACAAAAACATAAGTTTTCTTTAATTTGTATTAAATTTGTAATATTTGTTCTTGTAAAGAGAGGTGCAACTCATTTTCATATAATGGTACCAATATTATTTATCACTCGTCATTGAATTTTTTTGTATTAGAAGACTCATATATTTTTCCCGGAAAACGGAAGTATGATTCTTTCATGAATATGAGTGTAATTAATTTTGTAAATCTTTCTAATCACAATCTTTAAAAACCGATGCTTATATACCTACTTATTTTTTAATATCACTAAAACATCTAAGGTATCGAATTTTCTTTTTAAAAAAATGCGTGAGGTAGCACAATTCTGGCTGACGTGATTGTAGAAAGAAATTGGAGTGATCTTGTTTCATGCTCGCGTTATTACCAAAAAAGCAAAAGAATTTATCCTTTTTTGTAAGATGGAGGAAATAACGATTGTTCGAAAGTTCGTATAATTGTGTGATAACATCGAAAATTAACCTATATTCTCCTCTCGATAAAAACATAAAATACCATGCGGTTTTAATGTGTGAGGTGCGGCACACGTGTTTTATTCAACATGTTACAACACAATTATGTACGGCCTTGGGTCAAAAGGTCAAGACCATGTTATCATTATTTTATGTGGGTGTGTGCACATGTTTATTACTGTCAAATGCATCTGGTCTTCTCGAATATTTGCAAAAAAAAAACACAAAAATTAGATTGAGGGTTATAATAGTTGATTATGAAAATCCACGTTTCTTATCCTGAGCTGCATTAACGTCTTGGTTCTCATTATGTACATTAACGTTTATCGATTTATAGTAAAAAAACAAAATGCCTCGTTGTATGCCCATGAAATTTAGTGATCGTACTAACAAAAAGAAAAAATAATGTTGTAAAACTGTAGTTGCCGTTCTGCTCAATCCATTAACAAAACACACTGCACAATGTCTATGATTGGGCGAAAAACCCGTTGAAGGGTGTAATGGGCTCAGGGGTTGAAGTTCCCTCTTGCACAAAATAAAATGGAATCTCTACGACACTGGCAGAAATCCCAATATAACAATTAATTTTTAATTTATCCACGGCTAGCTCAGTAATAAAAATGTTTTATACCCTTTAGCCTTACCTTGCCGAATATGTTAATAAACACAAAAGCGATGAACTTCCGTTTTTTCTTGCACGTTCCTGTATACAAAATAAAAAATATTGATTTGATTCATAAAAGAAATATAAAAATCTAATGCCTATTTCGTGATCACGTATCCCTGCTATATTTCAACCTTATCTAGAGATTTTATCTTGACCACATAATGAATTATTGAATACATTCTCCTGCGGAAATATACAACTCCTTCTCAATGCTAAATAAAATTTTATTCCAACGAAAGGAATGACACTGAAACAAAATCCTTTGTTTGGATCTGATTCTTATAAATCAATACAGACTCTATATACAAATGGTTCTGAATGGTCGATTTCTTCAGGGATATCAAAGTTACTTTCATAAAAATCAGCATGTAAATTTCCTCGCAAATTCCCAACAATAAGCGACCACTAATATGTAAACAATTCAAAACTCACAGTAACTGATGTGGATGAGATTCCTTTCAGATTAAAATTATTAATCCTCTCTCTCCCCGGAAAAATTCTCGGAAAAATGCCACTCTCTTTAAAAAATATGGAAATAGACCGATGCAATGTACCACCCTTGAATGCCAAGCAAAAATGTTAATACGTATTGCAAACTTCAACACGCCAACTCCAATTTTGCGGAATAATGCAAATGTTCCGCTGTGTTGATATCAAAATTTTCCCCAATTAATTATGCTGTATGGTGTGAGGAAATCCGCTAATTAATTGTTTTTAATTCCCGAATAACGTTATGTACAGAATATTTTTTATCGCATAAAGCGCCACACAAATATTTTACACAATCTTGATAAAACAGCTTTTCACTGGCGTTACCGGTTACCGTTATCGACGCGAATGAAAAAAATCTGTTAAAAACGATTTTTTTTAATTTAGTACCTTTAATTCTATTTCTACGTGAAGAGCACGTGTCTCCAATTCGAAAATGTTCCCTCGCGTAAATTTTATCACTCGTAAAATGACTGACTGACTTCGTAACCAATCTATTCACAATTAGTTACTTAACGACGCGTTCTTAATTATGCGATTGACAAAAAGAAATAGCAGCGACATTCTTAGAAATTTTCCACTCAAAATAAAAATCCGAGTAAAAATCGTTAACACTTTTGTGCGAATCGCGCTCTCGCATTTACTCGAAAAAATATGGCAATAATGCGAAGTAGTAAAAATTCTCACATCCAAAAAGGCTAAACTCTTCTCTTCGCTATAATCCAACCAATGTTTATCCTAAAAGATATAAACCCATACACCTTTTATTGAAAATGCAGGCGTTGTTTTCGCCTTTTATTTTCAGACCTAATTTTGTTTCTTGTTGGTATAAAGCGATACATGCATCTTCCTATGCTTACACAAATATAAATTCAAAAAATTATTTTTTTAAAAAAGGCTTAAGCGACCACCCGTTAGAAAGGGTGTCCAATGAGCATACCGACGGCTAGCTCATGATTATTAAGCTTGATTGCAATTACCATCCAGGAAAGTGAACTTTTTTTACCTGAAAACTTATCAACTTGATTGAAGTTGGCGATAAAAATATAAAATGTCATACATAAAATTCGAAAACCAAACTCTGCCTTCTTTAAAAATCTCCCCCAATTTAAGATTGTTTCACCGAAAATCACGTACTAGAGTCGTACGTAATCTACCTAAGTGATCACTCCTTCCTTTCCTACCCATTTTTAAACGATCTGCACTATTTTTTAAATCACATTCGCAATCTTCAAAAAAGACACTTTCGAGCCCAACTATAAGGTCTTTAATTCAACTGCAGCATGATGAAGGTATCGCTTCCTTAACGGTGTCTTTGGTACTATTTAACGACAAACAGAGCTGGGATGATTACTCAAAAAAAGTAATTAAATACTTAAAATTAAATTACAATTACTTTGTCACAAAAGTATTTAATTACAATAACTGATTACTTCAGAAAATTTGTATTCGATTACTAATTACAATAGTAATCGATTACTTCCCAGCTCTGACGGCAAGCCTAATTCTTTAACATTTCTAAACGAAACGGCAATGGGCTGATAACAAAGTTTTAAAGAAGGATTGCCGTATTTACAGTAATTAAAAGTAGCGATCCCCTCTTATAAAACGGAAGGAAGATTCTACGAGTATGTCTCCGAACAAAGAAAAATGTTGTTTTTTTGTGGAAATTTCACGCGATTGCAAAATTTACGCAATCCGTCGGAAGACCAATTTGGCAGTGAAATGCGGCTTCCGTGATGCGGTTTATTCGTTCAGCAAATTACGAAAATCGAACCAATTTAATTACGATGGCAGGCTAATTGCTATTATTATTATTATTATTATCACACAATATTGGATCCTAAATTTCGAAATGCGGAAACACCCTGTATAGGTACACTGCGTTGGGAAATGCAAAAATGAGGTCATAATTGCCCTGTTTAGTGCGATTGTACACATTTGTGTATAATTTTTTTAGAAAGCGTATCTGGAAAGGGGGCTGATGTTGGGTGCGATCCAGAATTATGCATTCTGGGAAACTGATTTTATCGATATCTGAGTTGACTACGTCGTAAGTAATTTATTGCAAATGGATATTTAAAATTTAATCTGCCGGGACAAAGAAACATTCAACCTCATTTTTGCATGCATACTTTTTTTGTCAAGGTACAAAAACTTCTATTCAAATGAACTGAAAGCTGCATAAATCAATGTAAAAGAATACCTACTTCTTCCCAAAAGGATACCGTCACTATTTCGGAACCCGCATGGTTATTTAAAGAACAAAAGCGGAGATTTTTTTTTATAACTCGTATCTATCTACTTAATTATGCATAAAATTGTGAAAGGCCTGAGACTCCTTTCATGGATTTCATTAAGAGGAACATTAATGGAATAACTACTTTTTTCTATCGCCGCAAAAAATTCAAAGGATAACTTTTGCATCCTCATTTACATGCATAGTTATTTAACACAGTGGTCACGTTTGTTTTCATATCGTCTCTCTTAATAGGCAAGTTGTAACTTCGACAATAAGTCAATTCATTCACCATCTGCCTTTTTGTTGTGATCGGGGTGGAGTTTTAACAAACAAGGAGTGCTCAAGTACCTCTTACACACAACTTCAAGTTTATTTTTATTGTTGATGGAAGCACGGCAGTTGTTTCCAGAATAATTGTTTGTCGGTGGCGAGGGGAGCGACGCTCCCCAAATTTAGCAGACTTATTATTTACAGAGCGGCGTCTGTGAGCTTAATTCACATTACACTAGTTCATTGGAATTGG